TAGTGATACACATGTTCATAATATTGAAGCCAAAAGATATAAGTTTAATAATGATAGTGCAACTTATTTGTGGCACTGCCGTTTAGTCATATTGGTGTAAAGCGCATGAAGAAACTCCATGCTGATGGGCTTTTGGAATCACTTGATGCTTGCGAACCATGCCTCATGGGCAAGATGACTAAGACTCCATTCTCCGGAACAATGGAATGAGCAACAGACTTATTGGAAATAATACATACTGATGTATGTGGTCCGATGAGTGTTGATGCTCGTGGCAGGTATCGTTATTTTCTGACCTTCGCAGATGATTTGAGCAGATATGGGTATATCTAGTTGATGAAACATAAGTCTGAAACATTTGAAAAGTTCAAAGAATTTCAGAGTGAAGTGGAAAATCATCGTAACAAGAAAATAAAGTTTCTACGATCTGATCGTGGAGGAGAATATTTGTGTTACAAGTTTGGTCTTCATTTGAAACAATGCGGAATAGTTTCGCAACTCACGCCACCTGGAACACCACAGCGTAATGGTGTGTCTGAACGTCGTAACCGCACTTTATTAGATATGGTGCGATCTATGATGTCTCTTACTGATTTACCGCTATCGTTTTGGGGTTATGCTTTAGAGACGACTGCATTCACGTTAAATAGGGTGCCATCGAAATCCGCTGAGACGACACCATATGAACTGTGGTTTGGCAAGAAACCCAAGTTGTCCTTTCTTAAAGTTTGGGGCTACGAGGCTTATGTGAAAAAGATTCAACCTGATAAGCTCGAACCCAAATCGGAGAAATGTGTCTTCGTAGGATACCCAAAGGAGACTGTTGGGTACACCTTCTATCACAGATCCGAAGGCAAGATATTCGTTGCTAAGAATGGATCCTTTCTAGAGAAGGAGTTTCTCTCGAAAGAAGTGAGTGGGAGGAAAGTAGAACTTGATGAGGTAATTGTACCTGCTCCCTTATTGGAAAGTAGTTCATCACGGAAATCAGTTCCAGTGATTCCTACACCAGTTAGTGAGGAAGCTAATGATGATGATCATGAAACTTCTGATCAAGTTACAACTGAACCTCGTAGGTCAACCAGAGCAAGATCCGCACTAGAGTGGTACGGTAATCCTGTTCTGGAGGTCATGTTACTTGACCACGACGAACCTACGAACTATGAGGAAGCAATGATGAGCCCAGATTCCGCAAAATGGCTTGAGGCCACGAAATCTGAGATGGGATCCATGTATGAGAAAAAAGTGTGGACTTTGGTTGACTTGCCCGATGATCGGCAAGCCATAGAGAATAAATGGATCTTCAAGAAGAAGATTGCAGCTGACGGTAATTTTACTGTCTACAAAGCTTGACTTGTTGCGAAAGGTTTTCGACAAGTTCAAGGAGTTGACTACGATGAGACCTTCTCACCCGTAGCGATGCTTAATTCCGTCCGAATCATGTTAGCAATTGCCGCATTTTATTATTATGGAATTTGGCAAATGGATGTCAAAACTGCATTCCTTAATGGATATCTTAAAGAAGAGTTGTATATGATGCAACCAGAAGGTTTTGTCGATCCAAAAGGTGCTAACAAAGTGTGTAAGCTCCAGAGATCCATTTATGAACTGGTGCAAGCATCTCAGAGTTGGAATATACGCTTTGATAGTGTGATCAAAGCATATGGTTTTATACAGACTTTTGGAGAAGCCTGTATTTACAAGAAAGTGAGTGGGAGCTCTGTAACATTTCTAATATTATATGTGGATGACATATTGTTGATTGGAAATGATACTGAATTTTTGAATAGCATAAAAGGATACTTGAATAAGAAGTTTTCAATGAGAGACCTAGGTGAAGCTGCTTATATATTGGGCATCAAGATCTATAGAGATAGATCAAGACGCTTAATTGGATTTTCACAAAGCACATACCTTGATAAAGTTTTGAAGAAGTTCAAAATGGATCAAGCAAAGAAAGGGTTCTTGCTCGTGTTACAAGGTGTGAAATTGAGCCAGACTCAATGCCCTACCACTGTAGAAGATAGAGAGAAAATGAAAGTCATTCCCTATGCTTCAGCCATAGGTTCTATCATGTATGCAATGTTGTGAACCAGACCTGATATGTGCCTTGCTATTAGTTTAGCAGGGAGGTACCAAAGTAATCTAGGAGTGGATCACTAGACAGCGGTCAAGAATATCCTGAAATACCTGAAAAGGACTAAGGATATGTTTCTTGTTTATGGAGGTGACAAAGAGTTCGTCGTAAATGGTTACGTTGATGCAAGCTTTGACACTGATCTGGATGACTCTAAGTCACAAACCGGATACGTATTTTTATTGAATGGTGGAGCTGTCAGTTGGTGCGGTCTAAGCAAAGCGTCGTGGCGGGATCTACGTGTTAAGCGGAATACATAGCTGCTTCGGAAGCAGCAAATGAAGGAGTCTGGATAAAGGAGTTCATATCCGATCTAGGTGTTATACCTAGTGCATCGGATCCAATGAAAATCTTTTGTGACAATACTGGTGCAATTGCCTTGGCAAAGGAATCCAGATTTCACAAAAGAACCAAGCACATCAAGAGACGCTTCGATTCCATCCGCAATCAAGTCAAGGAGGGAGACATAGAGATTTGTAAGATACATACGGATCTGAATGTTGCAGACCCGTTGACTAAGCCTCTCTCACGAGCAAAATATGATCAGCACCAAGACTCCATGGGTGTTAGAATCATTACAATGTAATCTAGATTATTGACTCTCGTGCAAGTGGGAGATTGAAGGAAATATGCCCTAGAGGCAATAATAAAGTTGTTATTTATATTTCCTTATATCATGATAAAAGTTTATTATTCATGCTAGAATTGTATTAACCGGAAACTTAGTACATGTGTGCATACATAGACAAACAGAGTGTCACTAGTATGCCTCTACTTGACTAGCTCGTTAATCAAAGATGGTTAATTTTCCTAGCCATAGACATGAGTTGTCATTTGATCAACGGGATCACATCATTAGAGAATGATGTGATTGACTTGACCCATCCGTTAGCTTAGCACTATGATCGTTTAGTTTATTGCTATTGCTTTCTCCATAACTTATACATGTTCATATGACTATGAGATTATGCAAATCCCGAATACCGAAGGAACACTTAGTGTGCTATCAAACGTCACAACGTAACTGGGTGATTATAAAGATGCTCTACAGGTGTCTTCGATGGTGTTTGTTGACTTGGCATAGACCGAGATTAGGATTTGTCACTCCGATTGTCGGAGAGGTATCTCTGGGCCCTCTCGGTAATGCACATCACTATAGGCCTTGCAAGCAATGTGACTAATGAGTTAGTTGCAGAATGATGCATTACGGAACGAGTAAAGAGACTTGCCAATAATGAGATTGAACTAGGTATGATGATACCGACGATCGAATCTCGGGCAAGTAACATACCGATGACAAAAGGAACAACGTATGTAGTTATGCGGTTTGACCGATAAAGATCTTCGTAGAATATGTAGGAACCAATATGAGCATCTAGGTTCTGCTATTGGTTATTGATCGGAGATGAGTCTCGGTCATGTCTACATAGTTCTCGAACCCGTAGGATCCGCACGCTTAATGTTCGATGACGACCGATATTATGAGTTTATGTGTTTTGATGTACCGAAGGTAGTTCGGAGTCCCGGATGTGATCACGGACATGATGAGGAGTCTCGAAATGGTTGAGAGATGAAGATTAATATATTGAAAGGTTATGTTTGGACACCGGAAAGGTTTTGGATTAGTTCGGGTATTTATCGGAGTACCGCGGGGTTACCGGAACCTCCCGGGAAGTTAATAGGCCTTGATGGACCATAGTGGAAGAGAGGAGGAGGCGGCCAGGTGTGGTGCGCCCCCCTAGGCCCAATCCGAATTGGGGTAGGGTTTGGGGCGGGGGCCCTTTCCTTCTCTCCCTCTTCCCTTCCTTCCCCTAGGAGTAGGTTTCCCCCCTTGGGGCGCGCCCTAGGAGGACGGCCCTCCCCCTCCTCCACTCCTTTATATACGGGGGAGGGGGCACCCCATAGACACACAAGTTGATCTTAGCTGTGTGCGGTGCCTTCCTCCACAGACTTCCACCTCGATCATATTGTCGTAGTGCTTAGGCGAAGCCCTGCGTCGGTAACTTCATCATCACCGTCAACATGCCGTCGTGCTGACGAAACTCTCCCTCGGCCTTAGCTGGATCTAGAGTTCGAGAGACGTCATGGAGCTGAACGTATGCAGAACGCGGCGGTGCCGTGCGTTCGGTACTTGATCGGTTGGATCGCGAAGACGTTCGACTACATCAACCGTGTTACTTAACGCTCCCGCTTTCGGTCTACGAGGGTACGTGGACACACTCTCCCCTCTCGTTGCTATGCATCCCTAGATAGATCTTGCGTGATCGTACGATCTTTTTTTTGAAATACTTCGTTCCCCAACACCCCCCGCCCCTCTCTCCCCCTTTGAAAAAATGTAGGAATTTTACAGGCTTGAGTGTTTGGGTTAGAGGAACAGGAAAACCAGCAGTCCTAATAAACAGAGTCAAATCAAAGACAAACCACATGAAAAGGTATAATTAGCATGTTATTATGCCATCAAGGATTCGTCTCGTTCTTCACGCGTATAGTTTTGAAAAGAAAAAGGTCTAAGTAGATTGTAAAATTTCTGTGTTTTTCTCTGGAACGGACCAAAAGAAAATTTCCTTCATTTTTTCCTTTGCTATATATATTCCTTTGAACCAAAGGCTTAAACAATGTCATCATAGGAAAACTTCTTATTCCTATGTGTTTTCTTCAGTTTTCCTTCCTATGAATCAAAGGAGGTCAGTCTGTCATGTAGCATGTGCCCTCCACTTGTACCTTACCAGGTCAACTACTAAAACAAACAGGTTGGCACGACGGAGGCACAACACAATCGCACGAGGCCGAACCAGAGTAGAGTCTACGGTTCAGATCGACCACGCACAAAGGTCAGCACGCCCTGGCGATGTTCTCCGGCGACATGGCTGAGCGGTGGAGGGAGCTGCACGGCAGCGACCACTGGGATAGCCTGCTGGACCCGCTCGACGTCGACCTCCGGCGCTGCCTCATCAACTACGGCGAGATGATCATGGCGACGTACGAGGCGTTCATCGCCGAGCGTCGGTCCCCGAACGCCGGCATGTGCCGGTACCGGCGAGCCGACCTCTTCCGGCGCGTGGAGGTGTCCCACCCGGGCTGGTACGCGGTGACCCGGTACATCTACGCCACGGCCAGCGCCGACGTGCACGGCAAGGTGCTGCTCCGGCCGCTGTGCCGGAACGGGCGCGCAAGGGAGTGCAACTGGATGGGGTACGTGGCCGTGGCCACGGATGAGGGCGCGGCCGCGCTCGGGCGCCGGGACATCGTCGTGGCGTGGCGCGGCACGCAGCGGGCGCTGGAGTGGGTGGCCGACCTCAAGCTCGCCTTCGCCTCGGCGGCCGGGATCCTCGGGGCGGAGGGCGCCGACGGCTCCGAACCGTCGGTGCACCGCGGGTACCTGTCGCTGTACACCTCCGCCGACGAAGGCTCGGAGCTGAGCAAGCAGAGCGCCAGGATGCAGGTACGTGTGCGTGCTCAGCTTCTTTCTCGACAAGTACGTACGTATATATCCGCAGTTCAGTACCGTAGTAAACTGGCTGAGCAGGTATTGACAGAGATTGCAAGGCTGATGGACAAATACAAGGACGAGCAGACCAGCATCACTGTGGTCGGCCACAGCCTGGGCGCCACTCTGGCCACGCTCAACGCCGTCGACATTGCCGCAAATTACTACAACAAGTCCGCCCTCTGCACGGCCGGGAGCCGGGCGCCGGTCACCGCCGTCGTCTTCGGCAGCCCTCGCACCGGCGACCACGACTTCCGTGACATCTTCCACCGCCTCCCAGGTCTCCGGATGCTCCGTGTCCGGAACCGGCCGGACCGCATCCCGCTGTACCCACCCGTGGGCTACGCCGACGTCGGCGTGGAGCTGCTGATCGACACGCGCCGCTCGCCGTTCCTGAAGCCCCACGGCAACGAGTCGCAGTCGCACGACCTCGAGTGCCACCTGCACGGCGTCGCCGGGTGGCAGGGGGAGCACGGGGAGTTCGAGCTGGTGGTCGACCGGGACATCGCGCTGGTGAACAAGTTCGATGACTGCCTCACCGACGAGCACCCCGTGCCGGTGGGCTGGAAGGTGCACCACAACAAGAACATGGTGAAGGGGCCTGACGGGAGGTGGGTCTTGGAGGATCATGAATCAGACTACGGAGATGGCGGTGACAGCTTGTAGGAGGTTAGGGGAAAGGCATGATTTGGACGTTGGATGCTGTTTTGCCGCTCCATGCCATGGCATCTCTGTTGCTACCTTGAGGATCGTGATATGATAACGTGTGCTCTTTTTCTTTATCACTTGATTTTTTTAGTACTTAGCCAATTTCATTTCTCGCTCTCTAGTCATCTAGCTGTGGCACTGGCAGTTTTACTTCATTGAAACTGAAAGCTAGATACGTTAAAAACACATAAGGGGGAAATGATAGAAATCAACCGGCTGATCAACTCGTTGCTCCGCTGCGTCCATCACCGTTCGATCCAATTTTTATCGTGCTTACTGGAGTGTCCCACGTGTCTAACCACCATCCACACAAATCTGATCCTCCAGGCAGCCATCGTCTTCCTCTTTTCCTATAGGCAATTAGGCATCTCCGGAATCAATCTCTCGTCCAGCTTCGAGGACACACTGCCCCAACTACTGCCGCTGCAAGCAAGCCTCTCCTTGGGTGCTTTTGTTGCAAACCGTCCTCAACATTCCAATCCCTTTCCTACTCCACCTCTCTCCTTCGCCTCTCCTATTCGGATAGGATTTACTTATGGTGATGCCACCATGGCCGACGGAGATGCTGATACTGCAATTGGAGATGCACCAGCAACCTCCTTCCCCTGGCAATGCCGGGCACCGGTGCTGCAATCTTGGCCAGTGCTCACCTGGCGGTGTTGGCATATTGCCGCCATGGCCAGTTAGGAGACACACAATTGTTGGCTCCTGCAAGCGGTCGGTGATGTGGAGCTCGGGCAGGACCGCAACATCATCACTGTTGCAGTAACACCAACAATGTTGCAGGAATACAATGATACATCAATGCAGGCGCGCTGACGCTTTTGTAACATAATCTTTGTTGAAAAAAATCCGCTACGAGACTGCTGTTACAAAAGAATATGCAACAAGACCTTTATTGCAAAGACTTTTGCAACAAGACCTATGTTGTAGAAGATGAGAACTCTTCTTGGTCGTTAGATGCATTGGATCTTACGGCTTGTAGGCCAGCAGATCTTTTAAAAATATTCGTCGGCCGACGCATAGCAGGCCTCCCTTTTTTTAACGGGCTTAAGTTTCTTTTTTAATGAGACTATGGTAGAAGCCTACTGGAAAAAATGAGGTGAAAGGCCCGACCCATGTGGCCCGCTTAGAATGTGTTTTGAATTCCCCCAATTGAACAATAGCACTTCTTCTCAATTTTTTTTTAACAATAGCACTAGTTTTTCGGCATGGCTATGTGCCGCCTACAGCGACTCCTGGCTACGTGGCCTGCAGGGAGTTGCAGCTGGGCCGATCTAGTAACCACGTGGGTGCATCATGCTGATTCACGTTTATGTCATGCATATTTTTTCTTTGTGGTTTTTTCGTTCTCTTCTTCACTTTTTTACTATTATTAGCAAAAAGTCCCGTGCGTTGCAACAGGAGAAAAAAATCATAATCTCTAAAAGCCATGACCATACTTTGCTGCTTCACCAATAATATTTTGGTGAACATTTGTTCAATTTGCTTAACATTTTTAATACAGGAACTTTTTGAAAACTCGTGAACATTTTTTGATTTCTCAAACATTTTTTTTCAGAATTGCGAACATTTTTCGAATCCACAAAGATTTTATGATTTATTTAACTTAGCCTAAAAGTCATATTGTTTGGAAACTTTTAGCTCAATCAGAAAATATTTGAGGGGATATTATTCTTTTCTCTTCCTTTTTCTTTATTTGAAAAATGAGAATCTGTTCGGCAATGCTCAGTGGGCTGGCCCAGTGAGCACAACAACAGCAATAATAGTGCAGCCGGTCCCAAGGCCTAACTGGCCAAACCGTGCCAACAACTTCAAAAATAGTATTAGCAACATAGATGTGATGCTCCAAAGGCACCGAGATATTCGCTTCGGTGCTTGCAGTGCGGTTGTTATTGGCCACCGGAAGGTAGCTTTGCAGAATGAGATTCTATATTAGCTTTCGTGTGGTTTCAGGCTGAATGTTTAGCTTGCCGTCATTTGTTAATTAGAAAACTTGCTATTCTAAACATCGTGGCACATAGATTTCTGTGTAATTGTCAAACTAATTCATCCAAATAGATAAACTGCTTCCATGCATCAAATGAAAAATGGAAATAAAATAAAATTCATGCATATCAGCAGACCAAATGTAGCACTGATAACAACAAATTCTTGAAGTACGGGCATATATATTGATCATTACAAAGTGGGGAGGCTTACCACAAGCAACAAAACAATATTAATTATAATTGATAGAAATATTCATACAAATAACCTGAATTAGTAGTCTTTATCAAGATAACCAGATCATTACTCATCAAGGAGAAAGTTGCATGTCACTAAAAAGAACTCTTTTGGAAGTAATAGTAAAGGGCTAAAAAGAGATAATAGTATTTTCATAAAGATAACAAAAAAAAAGTAAGGTTTTCCATTTTCCACAAACTATATGGATGTTTACAAATAGAGGTCTATATTATCTTCCGCCATATACATAGAAAAATCTATTCATAAGGAGGAACCGAAATAGCTAAATAATGACCCGTAAATCTGTAGCAAAAAATGCATTTGTACAGTAACTCTACACGTTAGCAACAAAAGAAACCTGTTATCATGTTTCTTCTACAACTATTCATATGCAAAACGTTGTGGGACTACTAGTGTATTAATGTAGCTTACAGATAAACACTTTCTAAACACCAAATAACATGATGGAAATGTTCTAGTTTGGTGCCTTATGTCCATATGAAGCAGAGAGGCGCAAGTACCGCACATCAACGTGAGGTTGGCGACAACACCTCCTCCCTGCAAAGCCGCGATTTGGTAAACAATTGTATATCTGAAAAGACGACCAAGAAACTAACAAAGAAGGTAAAGGTCATAGCGGTGCAGAATTTACTCCATATCTTTACGGGGCCTAATAATAAAGCACACTACTACCAAAGTATACACAGGGAAAGTTATAATGGGAAGTAGTATGATATGAACAGATTGATTATCTTCTGAAATAATTAGAGATCGTATATATGAGAAGTCAAACCAGTGTTGACATCATCAGCAACATTACAATGGAATCTAAAACTGAAAAGTAGTAACTAATGGAAATTATTATTTAGTCAGAAAGACCTCTCTTTATCATTTATAAGGCACCAAGAACTGTAGCTAGTCCATAGAATAGGTAAAATTCCCATCCTAATATTCTTCATTGGTTACACATATCTTCGTCAACTATGGGAAGGCCTCGCTTCTAAGCAACCTACATAAGCTGGTAATCAACAAAAGCATCATACAGATGAAGCACGACCAGCTGAAAAATCAGTGGCACGGCCATGTTTTCTAGCACATCACCTATACTTCTCTACAGATTTGTTTCCCGCCTTATGACACGCTTGAAGTTTCCAGGCTCAAAATCATCTTGATGTTATTCACACAAGAAATACGAATGGCAGGAAAATAAAGCAATTCACGATTGCCACAAACTTAACGTGCAGATGCAAGAATCTCTACCCAATATTGCCCTCCCCACATTAATCTGACACGACTGCCTTTTCCATCTTTGTATATATTCTTTGAATAATCCAGCTTGCAAAACAGGTGCAAGGAACAGACTGCTTTTGCGCAATAATATTTGCAAACTTTAACTATGGTGCACATATATAAAAATGTGATGAGCATTAAAAAGGAAAGACAAAGAAGGTAAATTTCATGGATTAGTTGGCTGGCCGAACCAGCTATATGTGGCTTCCTTTCTTCTAGTCAGTGTTGAGACATTATCCGGTTCTGCAAATTTTCCCAGCAGAAACTGAAAGTGAAGCAGACAACATTATATGGTCCACAACTCATGGTCTCTGCTCCGATTGAGTTCTTAATTCAATTTTCCTTTATCTACATATATTATGCAGCAGATATCAATGTCCAAAGGAACCACTTCACCTGATTGAAGCTTCAATTCTGAAAACCGAAGTTAACTCACCAGTATTCTGCTCCTAGTAACTCCTCCTTTCCATGGTCTTCCTCTACTCCTTCCGTGATGGATCCATGTCTTCTGAATATATTGACACTAAAACAATCAAGTACATGCCCTCTATTGTATAACTTCAGTTCGAACATTGATAAGAATAACCACGTAAGGTTGATGTTACAATGAAAACAGAAAACAAAATACAGTTCATTGATCGGAATTTGTCAAACTATGCAAATGCACATCATGTCTTTTTTTAAAGTACATGCCTTTCAGAGCAAACATTGTAGGGTTGTAGTCAAATCGAACATCAATTTATTCTTTCTGGACAAGCAAAAAAAAACTAAATTAGGAAGAGTGCAGATAGTATGTTAAATATGATATATGCATCTCTTGTT